AAATATTTGCTGGGCTGGCAAAAGGTGTCACTGCCTTGCTGGGTAATAAAGGAGCAGTTATCCCATTACCAAATTACATTTAACCCCCAAAGCAATCTGGAATTCAAAGCTGATGTTTACATTGAAACCCAGGGCATTTAATTTTCTTAGATTTCTGGGCATATCTGGATTTTGATGAAATGGGAAAGACTTGAGCACAAAATGGTGGTGTGGTGTGTGTGTGTGTGTGTGCGCGCGCGCACACACACATCCCTCATGTACAAATGCCTCCCTCATATTCAAAATTGCTCTAATTTCAGTAATGGCAATCAAACACAGCAGTTTTGAACCTTTTTTTCAGGCAGAAGACAGACACACACACACAAACACACACACACCTCATGTACAAATGCCTCCCTCATACTCAAAATTGCTCTATTTTCAGTAATGGCAATCAAACACAGCAGTTTTGAACCCTTTTTTCAGGCAGAAGGAAGAGCCATAAGCATGCATCCCCACCACCACAAAGAAGAGAAAATCACTCCAATTTTTGGTGCCATTAGCAGCAAAAACAGAGTAATTTTGACCCCCTTTGCTGGAAGGAAAGGAGTAATGAAAGAACTTGCCTTTCTCTCCCCCTGCTAAGAGGTAGGAAACCTTTTTTGTTATTAATGGCTCTTTGCCTTCTTTGTTTCTAACTCCTCCTATATCACCAGCAGCTCTTCCTTTTCTGCTTCTGTTTCCTCTTCCATAGACCAACTACCTCTACCTCTCACAGACCAACTAAAGGAGTAACTAATCCTTTCATTACTAAAGGATCTACTTATTGGCCCATCATTTAGAGGGATATCAGAGAGGGAGCTGTGTTTGAAATTATCACTAGTCTAAGAAATTCCCTTCCAAGAGAAATGTAGTTAGTTAAAACTAGACTTATTTTAATACATGCTTATTTATTGTCTTTGGTTTTTAATTGAATAGATTATATGGTCTTATTTTTTATTAGTTTGTTTTTAAATATTGTACATTTTAAGATATAGTTATAATTTCTGAATTACAATTTTATATTGTAGTTTGCTCTAAAACTATGATTTTGAAAGGTAAATAAGAAATGCATAAATAAACTATTAAAAACTATTTTGTTTAAAAAAAGTTTTAAACACAAACTTTAACCTGCTTTGAATATTAGAAATAGTCACAGTAAGAATTAAGACATATGCACATGCATATCCCACACACACACAGAAACCTCTTCTATTCTTCTTTCCCATTCTTGAAAACCATCCATGGACTCAACCACTAGAAATTATTGGTAAAAATAAAAATAAAACACATTTAGAACATGATTGGTCAAAATTATTACCTCAAATATTATAACGCTACATTGATTTAGCACTACTGAGATGTTTGGGTGGAATTTTACAACCATCCCAGATTTGCAGAAAGCAATTCACTCTGAGTTGCATGCTTCCATTTTTTGTATATAAGATGTGCATGAGGTTGTACCTCCTGTTTCTACTAATAGCTGTCAGTGTTCTTATCCCCAATTTGTTGTGTCCTTTTCTGAACCCAGTTAGATTGTTGGATTACACAACAGCCCATTTAAATTTCATTAACCCTGATTATACATTGGAAAAAGCATCAGTTTGCATATATGTGGAGTTTTGCTTTGTTTTTATTTCCTGCGATGCAACAATTCTTTAGCTATGGAAGAAGTCCTGAGATTGCAATTTACCAGTCTTTACTCCCATATAAATCCAATTGAAGCAATTAAAAATTGAGCAAGAAAATGAGATTATGGTGCTTTATACTATGAGGTTAAAAAGATCTTGTACGCCCCTTGCCTATTTTACATCACTTCAAAAATCGGTTCCTATGTATACTGTGTTCAGTTTTAATATCAGAGACTAGCTAGTGGAAACTGCTTGAAGTGATTTAGGATAAAAAAGGTTAAAATAAGAAAAGTAAGAAAATTTCAAATGCCCTCAGCAATGTGCAAATTATGACGGGGGGAGAGGATTTCTGAGGGAAAAAAAATCTCTTCTCAACTCATTAAGTCATAGTAAGTCAGAGTCAAACAGCAAAAGAACAACTAAAACAACTACAGCTATTAATTCCAAAACTACAAATAGTAGTTGTAGTTGTCTTCCCTGTCAAAAAAACATGATTCAACAGAAATGATAAAATGTATTCTTGTCTTATTTACATTAAGTTCTGGATTTTCCTTGGTTCTGTTTTGTGGTATTTTAACAGGTTTATCACCACTATTTTAGTTGTTGATGCTTTTGATTATTTGATAGTTTGATTCTATTTACTATAATAGTATATTATTACATGTAACTAAAAACTGCTGCTGTTAAGGGATAAATATTTTTTTAAATGAAATAAAAAATAAATATGGGTCAGTGCCACTAGTCCCAGAATTCAACTTTTATCGCTGGAATCCATTCGTTTATTTTAAATTTAGTCAAATATTAACACAATTGTATATCAAATTCTTTGAAGTATATATTTTTCAAACCAAATTGTACTGACCACATATTTGCCTCACCAATAAACCAGCAGACCAGACAGTGGAAAAATATATTGAAAGAACAGACTTCTATGTGTCATTATGAATGGCAGGAACACACAGCCTATTATAAATGAGCTCTGTAAAGGTTTATTTCCTGCTAAGATACCAACCAGAGTTATCCCAACGCTAGCAATTCTACCCAGTTACCTGAAATATTTTTTCCTAGATGATTGTTATAAGAATGGTATTTTTTTAGAACAGAGCCCCGGTTTTTCTTTTGTTTGCCCTATATATGCTTCCTTGCCTCTTGCTTTTAAAGCACTTAAATATCAGAACTGTTACATATGTAATACCGATCTTCATAAACTCCCATGTGAGACTTTTTGGCTAAAGAATGAATACTATTCATATAGATTAATGTATAAAAAATAAATAATGTAGCAGTTATACTACCCTATTAATAGTAGTATTCATTTAAACCTTCACTCAGCCTAGACTGATGCACTAGTTTTAACTTTGGCTATAAAAAGATCAGGAAGTTCTGATGGAAGTAACCCATGCTAGTATGACCACATGGAATGACTACGCAGTGTACTCTAGATGTGGTGGCTTTTGAAGCCAACTCAGAAATTAACAGCAGAATGCAGTAAGCAAACTAGTGGCAAATGAGATTCACTACTACAACATAACACCAACTTTTGATGGCTACACTGGTTACCAATAGACTTCCAAATGCTACTTTTTACCTGTAAAACCTTTTACAGAATGGCTCTGAGTTATATCACGGTTCATCTTTTCCCAAATGATCAGCCTGTTATGTCAGGGACTCCTTAAACTCCTGCAAGGGAGGTACAAAGATTGTGGAGCAGAAAGATGACTTTCTCTATAATAGTCCTAATGATTTTAAAACAATGTAGCTCCAGGGCTATGCTTGGTCCTCCCTCATTACCTCTCACAAGGCAGAAAGTTTGATGACTGGTGACTTGGCTGTCATTATTATTGTTATATGCCTTTACACATTTCTATAAGTACCTTGGGGTCACATTGTATTGTGTCAAGCTCTTTGATATATGTTTTAATGATAATTTGCTTTTGCACACTACCCTGAGTCTGGTGATTTAGCCAGTATAAAAATGTTTTAATAAATAAATAAAAATCAATTCCATTGATGGCTTTATGGGTGGCACTTCAAATTTTGCTTCTTCTATCCTCATTTGTTTATTTACAATACTTGTTTATTGTTAAAACAGTCACTGTAAGATATGCACACAAAAAAGGAAAAGAGTAAAAACAAGGGAACTCTTTACTTTGCACATTCTTACATTTTCCCCTACCCATATTATTAAGGGGGGAAATTCATTGGGGTCCTTTTTCTTTGATTAACAACACCTAAGGCAGAATACCTATCTGTGGAAGTATTGTAGTCCTCAACTTACAACCACGATGGAGCCCAAAATTTTTGTTGTTAAGTAAGACATTTTTAAAGTGAGCCTTGCCCCATTTTATGACCTTTCTTGTCATTGTTGTTAGGTGAATCCCTGCACAGAACATGGTTGTTAAGTGAACCTGGCTTCCACACTGATTTTGCTTATCAAAAGGTTGCTTAAAAGGCTTATATATCGCCAACAGAGAGCACTAGAAAGATTATATCTTTGGAAAATATTGTTGCTATAATCAAGTAAGTGAGCCTTTGGCATAAGACAGTCTGCAAATCTACAAAATATATTTATCCCCTGGAATACAGCTCTATTATATTGTAATTGTTTTGCTCACACTTTCCATCAATTGGTTTGTTAGCCCAATATTATTACGTACATAGAACATGCCACACGAGGGTCAGAAAAGCAGGGTCTATTATCAAGACTAATACACTATTCAATGTGAGGTTTCATAATCCATCAGATTATAGATTACGTTTTACCAAAAATGAAAAAGTCTGCACAAAAACAATACATTATAAAACAACATCTTCAAATGGTTTTCAAGCAAATATGACTTAATCTAAAACTCTGTCTGTTTTTGCTCTCGAAATGAAAATATTTAAACTAGAGACTTAACATATATACCTGAGCAGAGGGGTGTGGAATCCCTATATCTCCACTGAATACAGTGGGATATATTTCAGAATAAAAATGCAAAGGATTTCCCCCTAGATTAATATTAGTCTCTCTGGAGTAAAATCAGCTATTTGGGAAAGCTTTCAATGATGATGCAAGTTACATAAAATGAGCGTGGGGAACCTGCAGGAACAAGGCATTACGTACTCAGCTAACAAGCTGGTTCTGCAAGATTTAAAGAGGCAGCTGACACAATACCACATTGGTCAATTCTTCTATTAAAAACCACAAACTTGCAGATCATCAAGGGCTGGGGAAGGCAAGATTATGAGGAAAGGGGAACTCCAGCAAAAGTGCCAAATAAAATATAATCTATTCTCCCTGATATATGAAATATTTGTGCCTATATATTGTAAGAATCTCCCCTTTTCAAGTCCTTTTCAGACTGTTACCTGTTTGTGGTGCCTGTGCTGTTGCCTCCGCTGCTATGCTTTCTTGACCGGCTCAGTCTCTGCAGTGGCTTTGGGTCCTGCAGCCCAAGACTTGTCATGGAAGGGAAGGCTGAGGCATACCCATGTTCACACTCTGCATAAATTATGATCAAATGGAAACAAAAGGAACAGTGAGTAAGAAGCAGTATTTTCCAAAGACACCACTAGCCGAGCCCTGAATGACTTCTCAGGCAGCACTCTCAGCTTTAAACAAATGTTAGAATACTCAGACATAAAAACCACAGGCAATGCACCTGTTCAGATAAGGCTGATTAGCAGAGTCCAAATCCCTTTGAGTCAGTCCTGGTGACTGCATGCAGTTTTCTCTCTTTTTCAGAAGTGGTTTCCCATTGCCTTCTTCCTAAGGCTGAGAAAGAGTGAACGGCCCAATGTCAGCAAACTGATTTCATTGCCTAAGACAGCACTAGATGTTACACTCTCCCACTTTGTATATACTAGTGATATTAATCACTATCCCAAACTGGTTCTGCAGTGTATGTTCCAAGAGAACTTTAATGTCTGTATCAAAACTTCTTGATCAAATAAAGAGCACATTAAGTCATTCTGACACTCTCTCACAATTCTCCATCTATTACACGTGAATCACTTTAACCCCACTTTTTCCCCTCTGCCCAAGCAACTGCTTCTTTCAAAACAAATTAAGTTGGACTTATTTCCAGGGGGATGGGCCACCTCAATTCCTGCCCCTTCCTCAAAAGGTGTTACCTCGGTCTCTGCGATCCAGGTATTCGGCGGCCTCCAAAAGGCGCTGGATGTTGATCATCTCTACCCGCTCCATAGCCCTTGAGATGGGTGAGACCTTTCCCCGAACAATTGTAAAGGAGGACTTTGCTGCCTTGCCCCTGGCACTATGGGTGAAATAGACCTTAGTTCTCTGATTTTCCCAAGAGAGAAAAAGAATAAGGTAGGAAACGAGTAACTTGGAGAAAGGGTGCCTCCTGTCCTGCTTCTACGAAGTTAATCAGTGGGGCGTAAAAAAGAACTGAACAACTACTGCAGCAGTTGCCCTGACTCATGGCCACATTCTACTTCAGAAAGATCTCTTTCCTTTACCTTTAGGCAATAACAGAGACCCTTCCCACAACTCCTAGTCCCGACCGTCTCCCCCTTTGGTCTTGGCTATTCGTCTTGTTCTCCTTTAAATCTTTAGCACTGCGCCCGACCCAGCTTCATACCCTTTTCTCAGTGCCCCAAACATTTAATCTGTCCTCTAACCTCTTCTTAATCTACTCCTGCATTCTGCCCCCGATTGCCCCTTCCTTCGTGGCCCCACACTTTTCGCCTCCTCTATCTCGATGCATCCATCGTGCAAACCCTCTCCCCCAAAGATCTATCGCTTTCTCCGCCTTCTGCAGCAGATACTGTACGTCCCTGCCTCTTTCAGAGTTTGTTTACCTCCGTTTAGAAATCATGGAGGGGGAGGGGACGCACATGAGACTTTCAGCCCCAATGACATTTGGGAAATGTAGTTCTCAGCTTTCTCTCTCTGCAAGTGCGGCGCGTGTGCACGTTTGCATTATGGGAAGCTTCGTTTTTCCACGTTATGCATGTTGCTCGGACCGAAAAAAGCGTATACAGCCCTCCCCTTGGTATGGTTACGGGCACGGAGATAAGATGGTGAAATCACTTCCTTGTTTACAGAAAATAGCGGCCATGAAGGTTGGTCTAGTAATAAACAGAATTCCAGGATTAATGGACAGCTTGTCTTGCGCCTTCCACTCTAAATAATCAGTTTGGGCATTTGTTAAGCTTCAAACCGTTAATTGCATAAACTACTGGGAAAGAAGTTCCACTGATATCGATGGGTTGCTCCATTTACGCAGTTTAAGTCGTCAAGTCACAAAGGTATCATAGCAATAATAGTAAGAATAAATTCATCAATTAAACAATCTATTCTATATGCCTGTTTTGCTTTACTTATGCAATTATTTCAAGAAACTTCTAAAATATAATTTATAATCAAATCATCTTTTAAAAATTAAAGTAAGTCTAGAACTGAAAACATATTTGCTTGAAGCTTAAATTCCATCAAATGTAATTTAAAGTACGTATTGGATATTAATTTTAATGTGAAATAACAGTTACTTCAAATCAAATGTTTGTTACGGTTACAGACAGCAAAAATAATCATTTCTGTTTTAGAGTCCTATGTGATTCATCCTACGGAATGACCCCTCTGTCTAAAATATTCCCTTTTCTCAAAAAATCCTTGAGTAATGTACTGGAGCGAACAGCTCCTCTTATGTGATTAGTATAATTATAAACCTAACAAAATAGTAGCAAACTTCAGTTTTCAGGAAAAACAGTAGTTTCTGATCTTAAAAACAAATAATATATGAATATCCTTCAAATCACTAATAGAATCATACTTTAAACTAGCGAAAAAAATAGAATCCACAAAAAAACATAAATGTATCTCCCTGTATAGAGAAACTGAATTTTAATTGAAACAGAGAAATATAAAAAGTTGGAAGAAGATGATATGCAATCTGGTCAGAATGAAAAGCTGAATTGAGCAGTTATAATATTTTTATAATTGAGTACAGAAAGTATTTTGCAGACACCAGATAAACAGAGTCCCCTGTGTTCAGTTTTATTCTTTAGCAAGAAAACTGTGCATCTTACATTGTTTCAACAAGAATAATTGTAAAGCAACATAATTTTTATTCCTGAAATAAATAAGTATACACACATCCATATTAAGCACATATGAAAATAACCCAGAAGCACTTCAGACTTGCAGATGTGCAACCTAGCAGGTCCTTTCTATGAGAGCAGTCTGATTGTTTTCAGATTTCCATAGGAGCCTTAAAAAAGGAGTTACTGATTAAAGCAAGCCATTCATTAAAATTAATCCTTTAAAACGTGGTCCTTTTTAGGTTTGTCTCAAAGCGAGAAAAAACCTGGAGTACTTTAGATGAATAGCAAAGAGGTAATATGTAGCATTTGCCTGAGATCCAGAGCACTTCTTACTAATAATTTTCAAAATTTATATATAAGAGTGTTTACTGGCCGAATGCAACACTCAGCTCCATCCAGTTGTCCCAACTACCCCAAATTAAGGAATTACAGGGTCGTAAACAGAGAGTTACATGTAAGAGGGTTAGTGGCTAAAGTACTAGGCTAGAAACCACAAAGTCATGACTTCCAATCCTGCATTAAGCATGAAGTCAGCTGGGTAACTTGGTCAAGTCACTCCATCTCAGCCCATGGAAAAGGGCAATGGTAACCACTTCCAAAAATATAGCGTGCACTTGTAAGTCACCAGAAGTGAAGACTACTCCAAGGTACATTCAGATCTATTTCCACAATTATCGTTAAGACAGAATCCTAAGTAAACAAAATGTGATTATTTTTACACAATATTAGTAAATTTGAACATTAACTTTGTGATGTTCAATAATGCTTGTTCTAGATGGGGCTGTTACATAATCATTCAGCCTTATTCACTGATTTGTAAAAAGGATTCTGAGGCATACTCAATCTGTCTTTTCCCATCAACTTCTCCATTGTTTTTCTTTCCAAAGTGCAGTACTGTATTTAGTTTTTTTTAAAGCTACATGGTAGCTTTTGATTGATAGTACTAGAAGCTCTGTCTGGAAGCACCTTATGCATCAAGTCAATAGAAGCCAAATTAAGTCATATTACTTAGTGGTTTAAAGATTTTTGCATAGGCAAGTTTCATCATGATGTGGTAGATCATTTGGCTCTAGGATTTCATAGGAATATATAAAGGAATATTCTTTATAAACTATAAAAGGTTTGTGAAATAGAATACTCTAATTACTCTAAAATAGTTCTTATTGCAGTTTATTGTTATCATACTTCTAAAATTCATTAGACCACATGATATATCTCTTAATTAATTTTCATGAATAATTCTTATTTAATGTAGTCACAGATGTCTTAATAATTTTTTTTTGCCTGCCTGCACTTCAGTATCTCATATTATAAGAATAAATATTCCCATAGGAATTTCATGCAAAAGATATGGGTTCAAATTACATGGATCTACCCTGATAGGCAGCATATGATAGGTGTTGGTTGGAGAGAAAAAGAATTGTAGTGTGATAGAGCTAGAAGGTTATTGATCCGGGGAAGGTCATTCTACAGGAAATATCACTTTATTAGAGCTCACGATTAGCAATGACAATGTAATACCCAACCCCAAAAACCTCACTACTACTCAGTTCCAACAATTCTGGGAAACTATATTCAGTGATTATATTCAGTCTGATATAACAATAATATATGGTAGTAAGTCAATAGGTTTATTTATATTGAAATCCTATCCATGTCAATTTAATAGTAAAGCTAACTGAGTGAGAGAGATTACTGGGACTATCAAATCTGGACTGCAAACAACTATCACAACTCCTAGATGGCAGCGAAGAGGACAGAAAACTCTTTAATGTCATCTAGTGTTATCCAAACTTGGTACTTCACAATCCACTTGTTAGCCTACATTATTTCCCTTATTTATATAACTGTAGCTTGTGATGTTTCATAGCTTTTCAGAGAAAGCAGATCCAAAGTCTGGGAAGAAATTTTGGGAAAATTCTTTAAGGGATCTTCCAAAAATACTGTTAGTGGCAGTACAAAGAGCATTAACTCTACTGATATACTTACAAATTAGCATGAATAAACCACGTTTCACTTCCAAATTCAGCAATAATTACAGATCAAACATTTTAACTAATATTTTCCCTCTGGTTACTTCATCCACATTTTTGTTCCTCAGTATATCCAACATTATTACTTTGCAGACTGTTAGGATTATAGAGGAAGAAAATGAAACATAAAATATAAATTTGAAAATCATTATAATGTACTTGCTTAAAATACCACAGATAGAACCATGTATGAATCAACTATTTTTATTTCCTAAAGCATACTGTTTTATTCTTCAAAATATTCAAAGAATGGATCACACCCTTGCAAGCATCACATTTATTCCATACAGATGCAATTCAAGAATAACATACGATTTCCAGTAGCTTAATAATTTTGCTCCTATCAGCTCTGTCTCCTAAATAACTAAGTAAATAAAGAAACAAAATAATTACTATTACCATCCAGTTACTTTGCTTTTAGGCTACAGTAAAACAACTCTTTTACAAAAACTGCAAGATTTTAGCCTATGAATTAAGAAAAGGTGATTGTGAAGAAAGAACTTAAACTACAATCTTCTATTTTATTTCAACAATATCAAAGCATATATAAGCAATAAAGTACATTAACTAAATGTTAATTCTTTTCAAGTTTCCTTCCTAATTATCCAGGTGCTAAAATTCAAAGGTTTACAAGCAAGAGCATCTCTTTTATTCTGAATAATTGTTATTATTGTCTGTGTAAATAATAAGTTCACTATACATCAGTGGCATATGAAAAAAGCAAGCAAGGTTACCCTTCATGGCTAGCACTGTAATTGAAGCCACAAATTATTTTGCTATACCTTCTGGACAATCTCTTCATTAGTGAAATGCTTCTACTTGAAGATAAACAATGGCATTCTTTGTACAAACCTCTAAGCTGTATAAAAATTGCTAGTGGCCTAGAAAGAATTTGATGGTTGCAAAGTGAGTAACATTAAAACAGCCCTGTTTTCCTGAAAAAGTTGAGTCCATGTGATATGATCATAAAAATAAAAGTCATAAAACTCATAATAGATTTGATGTCAATTTCCAAGAAACTGGGAGGGAAGGTAAACACCATCAAAATGGTGGCAGTCTGGACTGAACAACTGAATCATCTCCTCTTTTTCATATATTCACTAGATAGATACAGGTAAAAAAAGGGTGGAGCTTGGATCATTTGGCAATGGCTGCCATGTTAACCTTTCTGCACATCCCTGACAATAGCTGAGCACTCTTCATAAACAACCCTTTGCAATTCTTTCCTCAGGGCCATTTCACCGGTCATGCTTTCAAAGAGAAGGATGTTAAAACTTTATATTCATGTGGCAGATTTCTACATGAAGTGAATATGGCTATGCAACATTTCATGTTCTAAGACCAAAAAAAAGTTTCGCAGCGTGCAGGAATTCTCACAGAGAACCCCACAGAAAAATCAGTATGTTTCCCCCAGGATTTTGAGGCTATCTCCTACCACTGCAGCTTCAGTCAGACAGCTGTAGCATAATCCTGGGGAAGGATTTGAAAGAACTGAAGACAAATTGCTTTGTGCATACCTACCCACTCTGAACATACTGTCTTAAATTCAAAAGCATTACACAACCATATTGATAAA